GGATTCTTCTGATCCAGGCTTGGTGTAGGAAGGCCTGAGGTTTCAATATGTATCCAATGAGGCTCAAATTTGGATATGTCATAATAGACACCCATTGGAACAACTTTTATGAAGAATGTATTCTCATATGAGCAGTACAAGTATACGTTTTGGGCCTTGCAAGTTGACTGCCGAAAATAGACTGGAATTGACTCATGGTGTGCATTTTGATGAGCCCACGGATTGGGCTTGGCTTCATCAATTGATACATTTGAGCAGTCCATCTTGCAGTTCAGAATCTCTTCTTTCCAACCACATATTAATTGGGCCAATACAAGTTGGGAGGAGGAAGTTAAGGCCGAAACAAATTGCTAACTCAGTCTGCTCGTTTTTGCACCATTTTGCATCTTTTCCTATCCAAAGCCACCATTGCTACCTAAGGCCCAATGAACTGAATGATAAACAGAAAAGGGATTAAAAGCACAAGTTTAACTCAATAACATAACCAAATCATAAGCTAGAGGGGTACAAAATGATATACAATTATGAACTGATCAAGTACCCCCTAGTTGTTTGAAACAGTGTGATTTATAAATAATGCCCCACGTGTTTCTAGGACCCCTGAACCGTGTGGTGCGAGGATTGCGGCTCGGATAGAAGTGGTATCTCTGAGGCCTGCGAGGATTGCGGCTCTTGTGGACTTGGTGTCTCCGAGGCCTGCAAGGATGGAATTGACGGATCAGGAATGGGGGTACGCCTAGGTGGAGAGAGTTTCAGTTCTGAGATATTCTTAAACTAAAATAAAGGGGTTCAGTGTATGACATATTTATATTGAGTATATGATTGATACGAATATTTGGAAGAACTACGTGTGGCTTGATCCCTTGTTAAGGGTACGTAGGCAGCCTAGAGTTAATAGGTGCAGCCGCGAGGTCAAGTAATAAAAAGGTAGTCCGGTTAAGTTATTATGAAATCTAATATTGTTATGGGGATGTTCTAAGAAATTGAATTGAATGTTGTTAGCAGAATGATTTATTCGATTTATGGAGGCATGAGGCAAGAATGATATGATGTTTGATTTCTAGATATAATTCGATACATGCTGACAGTTGGGTTATATATAAATATATTTATGCTTGTTTTACAGGTGGTAATTTTTTTAGGAAATGTTCAATTTACAGGGGAGACTCTGCCGAATTTTCGGCAGAAGTCGCACTTGAATTTCATTGAATTTTGGTTAGAAGGGCAGTTTGGTCAATTGTGCCTGGCAACCGCCAGGTGTGGGACACGCACAGGGTTCGACTTGGATTCCAAAGTGAAATTTGGGTCGGGTCTTATCAAATTACATCTCTACCTTTGATTAACTTTAAAACAAGCCCAACACAAAAAACTCAAAAAAAAACCCAAAACAAGCCCACCCCAAATTTTTTTAGAAAACCCAAACTTAAAATAAAATAATCACGAAAATCAAGGAGCTGTCCTTACGACCCTTCTCCACCGAACCTCCATACACTGTTAATACCATGTCATACAAGTACATTGTTAATATCATTTCATAGAAGTACATTGTTAATACCATGTCATAGAAGTACACTATTAATACCATGTCATAGAAGTACACTATTAATACCATGTCATAGAAGTACACTATTAATACCATGTCATAGAAGTACAACCATTTTATAGAACTACATTGTTAATACCATTTCATACAAAAAATTTAAAAAAAAACCCAAAAAAGCCCAACAAGACATCCGATATCTTTTGCAGAAACCACCTCCAATTATGCATAGTTTCACCACATACAATCGCAAAGGCAAAAGGAAATACATCTACATTCACTGTTAATACTATGTCATAGAAGTACACTGTTAATACTATGTCATAGAAGATGTCATGAGTACTAAATTCTCCACAAGCTCTGATTTACAACTCAGTAAAACAACATCCAAACTTACACAACTACGTAGTGCTTACATTATCAATGATAGACTCAAGAAGATCATCTGACAATTTCAAGTCAGGTTCCATCATTATGGCAATCACCATTTGCTTAACCTGAAACCAAACAGAGGCCGCTTAATTTAAATATTGTGTCTGCGTTCATACAAGATATCAAACGTAAAAATACCCATAAAAACATAAATTTCCTTGGAGACTTAGATAGTAAAAAAGTAGTACAAGACTCACTTTTTCTCGCTCAATGAACCCGGTTTGTCTCAGATCATAGAGCATAAAAGCAACTGCAAGTAATTAACAAACAAGAAACATAAGATAACAAGAAAGACACACACACAACATTTAGCTTTGCCTCTTATAGCAGTAAGACTTACAATCAATTTTATCATCTATAAGGGCATGGATGGAAGACATTGAGTGCATGAACAAACTCATCAAATTCAAAGACACCATTTTTCTTTTCATCAAAGAGATCAAAAACCTAGAAAAGCAAAATCTAGTTCGCGTAAGTTGGTGCAGGGAATTATATATATCCTAGTCAATTAGTTCAAGATGTTGGTATGAAGCATATACCCTGTCCAGGAAAAGATTTTCACCATAGGGAGTTCTGAATAGTGCTAATTGAAACTCTTCCTACAACATAATCATCATCCAAATAATTACTACAATGCATGAAACTAGAAAGAAACAACACATTTCTTCATAATTGAATTTGAATGATTCAAAGAAATTTGGCTGACCTTATGAATCGATTCGTCGTCGATAATTGAACTACTCAGCTTTTTAAACAACTCATACAATGCCTCCAGCTCATTAACAATAACTGCATCATGATTTCATGCAAGTAAACAGCACAAACAGCAATAAAAAATCTCATTCACTAATCATTTCTTTCTTTTTCTTCCTTTTTTTTTTTTTCCAAAATTCCCAAAGCAAAAGGAAATAATTCACAATTCGAAGTTCTGCATATATATAGTTTTCTTAATCTTCTGAATATTTAAAAAATAAAAAAATTTCATACATCTGATTTCATCGGCGAGGACAGACATATTGCCGAAAGTGAAACGTCGTTTGGTTGGGCGAGGACGGTCGCTAAAGCAATCGGTCACAACAAAAATCAACACCTCTATGATCACTACAAACAGTATAAATGCCGCGCAGATCCACTCGCCCAATGATAAAGAACTTGATCTCTGCTCAACCCCAAAAAAATTACAAAAATAAAATACGATTAATGCTGCTTAATTAATCGGAAAATCAAAAATTAAGCATAAACAATGGAAATGAAAATTCGCCCATTTTAAGTTTTACCCAGAAATCCATTGTCGTTTGCAACAACTCATCAGATCGAGGCTGCTACTTCTGGCGCTGTGTTGCTTTGTGCTTTTCAATGAAATATGTCCGCATCTGCACCAGAGAACATCATGAGGCTTCTTCTCTCTCGTTGTGTTGGCGTGGATTATACATTTGGTTTCTCCATATCTGGCTGCAATTGAGTAATAACCGATGTGTGAGAGAGAGAGAGAGAGAGAGAGAGATAGATACTCGATGCTTAAGATATTGACATAACATGGAGTGTCATCTTCTGCTCTTATCAATTTGATCTAATCTTCAACCAGCCAGTGATTATAGTATACAATTCAAAAAGCTGGGAATCTAAGCTGCATAATATGCACTGGGTGCCTGTCTATACAAAACCTTGTAAATCCATACGAAGCCCAGAGATTTGAACCTGGACACCAAGGTCCAGGGTCTTAAGCACACTAAAGGGTAAATCAGGTGAGTAATAATCCAGTTTTAAGTTTTTTTATATGAATTTCACACTAAGGGGTAAATCAGAAAATCCGTGTATTAAGTAAACTAAAAAACGGAACAGCTGGCAATAGTAGGGTGTGTTTATAAAGTCTGTTTAATGTAAGGTAGGGTGTGTTTATGAAGTCAATTTCATGTAGGGTATTTCTATGATTCTATAGCTAGAAATGGGTTTCTTTATAGTTATCTTTTTTTTTTTCCCTTTAATATTGAAAATGGAGTGTAAGTTGAAAAATTAAGTATAAAGAAAAGAAATAATATAAAAGTGAAGTAAAAAAGAAATTAATGTAGGGTAAGGATAGAATAGGAACGAGAAATAACAAAATTAATCAAAAAGTAAAATGGAGTGTAAGTGGAGAAAAAAGGAGTGGGAAAATCAGCTCCCTAAAGTAAACAACATAATCAAAAGATGTAAAGGAGCTAGGCCTGGAGTTAGCTGAAGTTAGGCTTGGATATGGCCCAAGAATATATATCTCCATAAATAATTATATTTATATTTAATCTGGTCCGGTTCGGTGCATTGCAGCTTTGGAGGAGATCCCAAAATCGGTCTAAACTGGTATGGTTTGGTTTTTGAAATTTTCGTTGACTTTTTAGTCAACTCGATTTTTTCTTGTTTTTTTCAATTCGGTTCAGTTTGATTTTGAGATTCTTCGGTTCTTATGCCCCTCCCTAATTTCACACCTTAAAAACGCGGCTGAACCAATTACAATATAACGATTTGGTTCAATTCATTTTTGATAAAAATTAGAAAAGAAACCGAACCAAACCAAACCCATTTAAGACGGTTTGGTTTGGCATGTTTGGGCCTAAGCCCAATTCTCTTTCCTTTTGTATTTTTTCAACATTGTTAACCCAATTACAACCAACAAATTTACAACTTGTTCCATACTTCAAATCATTTTCTAGAGTACAAAATCATCCTAAAGCTCAACATGCCATAAAACTTCAAATTTCAATAACTAATATAGCTCAATTCAAATATTCATATATAATTATTCAGGGAAACGTTAAATCCTAACTATATTTAGCCATAAAGATAAGGTTACAATTAACCTTAGGCAACATAAGCTTTAAATTTTAATCTTTGAACTATAATATAACTAACCCCAAGTATCATGAGGCTGGATTTAGATTGTTCCACTCTTAGACTTTCTAGACTAAGAGAAAGAGATAGTAGAAACTTTACCCTTGAAGCACTACTCAAGGTTGACATCCTTTGAGTTGATCACCTTATGGAAGGTCTTGTAGATTCACCAAATCACCAATGGAGGTAATCTCTAACTTTTCCACACCAAGGAAGATGGAGGATATGATGCAACTTAGGAAGGAAGGATGCTAGTGTTCACTTCCTACGGTGGTCGATTTTTGCTAAGTGGATTTTAGTTTTATCACCAGTATAACCCCACAAAAAAACCCTATTAAGCTTATCAAGCTAGTTGCAAGTAGACATGGGAAGTTCAACAGTTTGCATAGTATAAATTGGAATAGCTGAGGTAACAACATGCAAGTAAGTTAATCTACCTACCATAGATAATGTGTGACTCTTCCAGGAAGCCAATCTATGCTGCACTTTGTCAACAATCCCAGAGTAAGTATCCTTGGTGATTCTAGACTGGATGAAGGGGACACCAAGATAATTTCCAAGACAATCAGTAAGGGAAGACCCACAAATATTAGCAATAGTAGAAACAATCTCAGAATCAGTATTAGGAGAGCAACAAATTCTGGATTTATCAAAACTAACTTGCTGACCCGTGATCGGTGCATATTTATATATCATTTTGTACCATTCTAACTTATGATTTGATTATGTTTTTGAGTTAAACTTGTGCTTTTAATAAATTTTGTGTTTGTTTCAGTGTAATAAGCTTGAGACTCATTAAATGCATTTTGGAAACAAGTTAGCTCAAAACGGTGTCTGCAGATAAGTGTTTCAGTGTAATAAGCTCTTGAGACTCATTAAATGCATTTTGGAAACAAGTTAGCTCAAAACGGTGTCTGCAGATAAGTCAACTTCACGAATTGGACTGTACTTGCTCAGGATGAACCAGATGTTGAGCCCTATATCATTGGAAAGATGCAGAAGTTTAGTTTCTGGAGAATTTTACGGTTCATGATTCCGAGTCTCCTAGAGGAAGTTATGCAAGTTTTGGCAGCTTCAGGTCAAATTCGGCAGCATCTGTGTTACTGGGCCAAAAATGACATTTGAAGATTTTGTAGGAGGGAAGATCAAGCCCAAAACAAGCCCACAACCTGACTGCAATGCATTTTCATGCATGACTTAGGCATTCCAGCTATGAAAGTCTAAAGGAGCAAAAACAAGGCATTGTGGGAAACATGTTTGGATAAATCAAGAAGCACTTTCCAGGCTGCTAGTGGGATTAGTTGGTACATGCTGGAGCTATTAAAGAGAAAGAATGTGCATGCATGTGAAGCAAAAAGAAAGGAAAGAAAAGAAATGAAGTCAATTCCAGTCTATTTTCGGCAGTCAACTTGCAAGGCCCAAAACGTACACTTGTACTACTCAGAGGGGAATACATTCTTCATAAACGTTGTTCCAATGGGTGTCTATTAAGACATATCCAAATTTGAGCCCCATTGGATACATATTGAAACCTCAAGCCTTCC